ACAGGCATGCCTGTCACAATAACAGTGCATGAATTTCCGTTATCCACTCTCAGAAAATAAAAGATTCTGTCTTAGCGAATCGTCCACTCTTTCCCTTCTTCAGATGTCCATCAATGGTTTCTCGATCTTGCAACAGACATACGGCATATTTGTCCACTGGGTTATCGGGCTCTCTTCTGGTTGAAAGTTTTTCATTCACTGTTGGTTTCCAGATTTCCTGGTAGTCGTGATATCCCTGTATGTAGAAGTTAATCTGAAGCGAAGCAACATTCCTTGGGCAAACCATTATTTAAGCAGAGCTTGATTTAGTAAATTCAAAGCCCGTATCTAGCAGGTGAGTGCCGGAATATTGTATCTAGCCCTACAATGATCCAGTAGCATTTATGAATCCGATCAAATCTTCTATAATTTAAACGAGTTCGAGTAGGCCACAATCACATTTAACTCTAATCACAGTCCAAAAGGCCATTTTCGATATATTAGAATTCTTACATGACTCCGGGTATGGGGAGAATTAACCAAAAGAAACTGATTACTCATCCGTCAACCTCAATGTGATTTCTTTTGTTTTATTCCCCCAAACCTTGGAGCCAAGTTGAATTCTAATATATCGAAAATGGCCTATTAAACTCCTGTGCGGAGACAAGGGTTGATAAGCCAGAGGTGAATAAGACAAAGATTACAACAGCATAATAAAAGCAAAAACAAACCGTATCAGCGAGCTGTAGGGGCCCTCCTTTTTGAAAGTTTATCAACATCAGACGAAAGTCGTGAAGGTTGCGAACAGTTAGCCCCATTAATTCTACAACCCTCCCCCTCAGCGTCGTAACATGTGACCCCTCACCAGTCTCTCTCGTGACAGCTAGCTTGGTACCACCATTGGACAAAATTTCAGCCGTCTCGTCTCGGGCAGGTCAGCCAAAGTTTTTTTCCTTTTATGAGAAAATGCTATTCTGTCTGACATGGTTAACCTACCCACCGAAGGACGACACGCCCACCCGAGATGTCTCGACTTCCGGGACTACAAACTACGCCAACAAATCACAACAACTAACAAAAAAAAAACAACGACAAAAAGGCGAGTAGTTAAAACAGCTCAAGAAAACAATGCACCAAAGCTACAAATATTGCACAAGTTATCTCTTTTAATTCCTCAGTGATTCGTAATAGTGATATCCAATATAAATACTGCAAACATCGTATTTCCTTATAACGAGTTCCTATTCTAAAAAAGTTCACAATTCTTTAAATCTGAAATTCGCTTCTAATAAAGTTCGCCGAAGTTCAGCGGCGATGTACGAAGATGAGCGTGTCCATGGTAACCTCAGTCTCGCATTCCCTCTTCTGGTGATCTAAATAATGGCAGTAAAATCATGATGGGGACACTGTATCACTCGCACTCACAATTACTATGATTTAAAGATACGGCTAAGACATTCTCAAGGATATCTGCCAGCAGACAAAATGCAAGCAAACTTGCCGTGTGACTCAACACAGAGGAAAACACAATACACGAGGACAGAAATGCTTTAAAAGAGAGGCGAAGTGAAAGTCACCATGGCGATTTGCAATGTTTCACTTTTTTTGATATAATTTATTTATGCTAATGTAGGATATCCCGTCGCCAGGCTACTTGTATTTTCCGCCACGACCTCCACTGTCCCGACGACCACCTGAGCGTCCACTGGATCCAGACCCTGCGCTTGAAGCGCCACCACCCGCCCCAAATCCTCCTCGGTTACCCGCACGAGACCCAGTTCCTCCTCGGCCAGCTTGTCCACCGCCACCACTTGCACCCCCACGGGAGTTTCCTCGGGCCCCACCACCCGAACTACCGCGCGGACGGTTCGCGCCGCCGCCACCGCCACCGCCACCACCACGCCCAACTGATCCACTGGGTTTCTTTTCTTCAATGTTGATTTCGTGGTCACCAATTTTGATGGGCTACAGTAAAAGCAAAGGGGTGCATATAACTTAGTCTCTTAACAAAACCTCTGACGGCGAGTTTCGATTGAGAAGCCCAAAACAAAAACCAAACAGTACCTCTGTTTAAATTGGGGTCTGGGTGACTTTCCATCTTATCTGATTGAATAAAGGGGTAAGTTTCTAAAGAAACTGGGGTGCTGTGTCGGTAGGGGGAAGGTGGGGAGGGGTTAAAACGAGATCATTTGGTCTTGTCAACTGAGTTGATAACGTAAATTGCCACTCTGTAGAGTTTCTAAAGTTGCTGTTTCGAGCGTTTATCCTTCATCAGATCAAACTCTTTCAAATGGCTGATTGTCACTATCAACTCAGTTGATAAAACCAAATTATCTTGTATCTGTTGGATGAGAGGAATACTCAAGTTTTCTCCATGGAGAGATTACAGATTACTTTTGACCACTAATTTCTACAGAATTTAACATTAGGTGACAAGAAGAGGTCTGGATTAAGCAATGAGAATCACAAAAATAACAATTTCAATATATCTGTTGCTATTCATCGCAATAAATAATCACTGGTGAGTACAGAAAAGAATGTTGATGATTCTGACAAAGTCTGCCAAAGGTTTGGTCAGCAGGAGAATGAAAAGACTACCTTAAATATTTAAAAAATTAGAATACAATTCATTTCATTCTTAATGAAGGGATTTTAAGGAAATCAAGATTTAAAGAACCTAAAGATTTGCTACAGCATGACCCTTGAAGTCATTCCCATTAACATCACTTTTCTTTGAAAGATCCTATTCACTTACTCTGTTGATTAAGATTTGTTCCACTGGTTCAGAGCTGTTAAAAATCACAAACCCAAAGTTCTGTAAAAATAACATATAAGAAAACTTATGAGTATTTTTGAAAATAGTTTAAGTCAATCTTTGAGTTTTCTGGCTCCTAGGATACCAAACAAGGTAACAAACAAAGAAACAAACACAACAGATGAAAACCATGGCCAACAATAGCTGAAAAATTCCTCACGATTCAGCTTAAAATGTGTAAATTGATGAAGTGAGTACCTTAGGATTGAGTCTGATTTCCAGTATGGTTCCATACTCTGGAAGAGAAAGACTGTGTGTGAAAAATGTATCTACAAGTACCATTACAATGCAAGGGAGACAACAATCATCCACCCATCTGACAAAACAAATGAAGATCCATGCAGGACTCAAACTTGAGACAAATATTTGGAAACATTGCTTATTTGGGATGGATGCATAAAATTTCCACCTTTATTGCTTCATCTCTACAGAGGACTCGGTAAGTTGCTGATCCTAGCAGAATGCAGCATGCCTGTTGCAAGGCCTAGCTTGTAAAAAACCTCTTGAAATGGCTAATGCATCTCAAAGGAAAAGAGGAACTACCTGGCTTTCAAATCCTTAACAAATTTAAAATTTCCTTTGTCCTGTGCTTGATAAGTCTCTTGTATCTTTCTTGAGTCATAAAGCTCTCATATTTATTCATTCAAAGTACACTCACTAGAAAACACGTTGCGCACTTCTTCATCCTTGATTCCCATGGGCAAGTTTCCAATAAACACTTGATGATTATCTGGAGCATTACGAGCAGTTAACCTTGCTTCTCTACTACCCATTCCCCCACGGGCATCTTTGGATGAGCGGGCAGGAGCAGGCTGGGGCCTGGGTGGTGGTGTTAGGCCAGACTGAGATAGAGGCTAGAAACAAAGAAATAATAAATTGACATGATGTAATAGCTAGTTTCATGCCTGTAAATCTTTGAGTTTAACAAAATTCAGACTGACCATTTGATACTATTAAAACATAATTTATGTGCATATCTCAGCATGTGTTGACAATAGATAGTGTTGGGATTTACAGATACAGCCCTCATCAAGTTTGATATACAGGTACTTACTCTCCTTTCCTCTCAATGTTGATGGTCATTTCCCCCCCCAATATTGCTATTGTTTGTGTCATTTCCTTATCCATTTATTCATTTTCATTTGGTATAATTTTCCTGTCACCAACATCGACAAAAGGGTTTTTGTTTGTCCAACTGAAAAACAAAATAATATTTGTGTATTGAATTTTCTGGAAAGTTGTTGCTTTACACAAACACTACCCTCCAGTTGGTAATTTCTCAGATCCCCTTTGGCAGAATATTCAAATTGTATGTTTAAATTAAGCAGTGAAGACCAGTCCTCACTGGTTTTGTAATCATTTTCAAGCTACCTGCTGGGCCTGACGCACTGGGCGTGAGTTTGTGGCTGGAGCCGCGCTAGACTGAGCTGACGGTGTGCGAGAAGCTGCAAGAGCTGCCCAGGTCTTAGGCTTCTCTGGCACTGCAATCAAATTACAAGATAAAACATGTATCATATTCAATGCCCTGAAAGCCAGCAGAAATTCTTGACATAAAAACAAAAGAGTTTCACCCCTAACTCACAAAAGCAGTCAACAAGAAACTTCTCTGACCATTTCTACTCATACCGAAAACAAAAATATAAAAAAGAGAGGAAGAATAGGCAAGTTATCAGTCAGATGGTGTCACTTTGATGAAACATTAAATTCCCTTTACTTTCTCAAGTAAAAGTGAAAAAGAGAGAAGTGAGATTTACAAATCAGATCTTTGGGTTGAATGAGTAAGGTATCCATGAGCTCAGTTTTACTGCAATATTACATTCCCATCTAAATTAGTTGAGGAAATTCGATGTTAAATCAAGATAACATCCTCTAGCTGACAAGTTTGTCTTTTCTGGTCATCTGTTTGTTACTAAATGTAGAACCACTGTGAGAAGAAGTTAAATTTCAACCAGTTTGGGGAGGTAATTAATTTTATTAAGACAACAGACAAACATGTACCTGATTCAGCTGGTTCACCAGAAATATCCTCTAAAGGTGCCTCTGTTTCAGACCTTGGCCTTTCAGGTTCCTCCTCCTCTTCACCCTCTTCTGGCTCTTCATCAAAGGGGGTGTCATTGAAATGTCCATCTGCAGACAGAGGCTCCTTCTCCTCCAGGGGCTGAATAACTGGTGCCTCTTTCACTGGCTCAAGGTGAGGGATCTGAAAAGAACAATAAAAAAAAATGCAAATCTAAGATAACTAGGAAAGATTTCACCCTTTCAATTGCAGGAGTAATTAGAAATAAATTTCTTCCAGTTCAGTGATTCAGATGGTCATCGGCCATCAGCATTTTGCACATTGTTTTTGTAAATGTCCGATAGTTTACATTGTAAAATTGACAAATGGCCGAAAATATTCGCATAAATAGGCAATAAAACGGCCCATTGATTTTCTTTTCTGTTTTTTTTTTTTAATAGTTAATAACATTTTTAGTTAGTTGCTACAAGCAAACTTCTCTTTAAATCCCAAATTTGGAAGTCAATGTTACGAAGAACTTGAAAATTAAGGATTAATGAAGTGAGAACAGAAAACTGGAAAACAATGTAAAACTTGAAAGACTTGGTTTCCTCGGGTAGGAAAGCTAGCTAAGAAATTTTTTTTTTTTTTTTTTTTTTTATGCCCAAGTTAAATTCTTTTATTTTATTATTTTTTTTGCACACACATACATATACAATTTATATTACATTGGCTAATACAAAAACCATGATACAGCTAAGAAGAAAAAAACAATACAGTACAATACAGAATAGAGGGATAAAAGAAAAGAAAAAACAAGTAAAAAATAAAATTACAAAATATCAATCAAAAGGCACCTACGAGTTACTTACAATCTACATTATTACAGTAGAGCTTATGTATAGCTATAGATATATCGCTTTGAGTCTTTACCTCCTTTTTGAAGTATTGATTTTTCGAAGGGGAGAAGCAGAATTAGTGAAGAGCACATTTCTCTATTTGCCATTGCATCAACATTTTATTTTGGAATTCTTTCGAAATCGGTTTTTTCTCAAGACACTTACAACTGTGGACATACTGTTTCAAAAGAATAACAAATAAGTGTAGTTTGCGTCTTGGGTATTCTGATAACTGATGAAAGTCGGGTATTTCATTAAAGGTAATTTGCTCGTTAGAAAGTTCAATTTCGGTCTTGTTTACGCGGTTAAACCATCTTAACACTTCAAAATAAAAAAAGATTTTGTCTCGGAGCAATCCAGAAAAGTATGCTCTATTGAATCTGAATTAGGGCAAAAGGTACAAGTTGAATCTTCAGTTAATCGAAATTTGTGCAGTTCTTTTTTGGTTACTATAATTCTATGCAATAATCTAAATGAAAACTGTCTTAACTTGTTGTCTTAACTTGTTGTCCATCAATTTGTTATTCATTTCATTTAAAAATTTTTAAACATCCTGCATATTTCCGAAACAAAAAAAAAAACCTGGAAAAAAAATAGTATGCGAGACTGATTTAGTTGTGCCGCCAGGAGCCACTCCGCTGTGTTTTGTAACAGCGATTTTGATTGGCCAAGTTTGGGTGTGACCTCAGTTACTGGCCAACCAGAGGCGCGCTTTCGACAGCAAACGTAAACGTCTCTCTGTGCACCGCAGATGACAAGTGTGTTTGGCGGTAAAATGCTCGATTACCGGAGGCCTTTCATTGCGCCGCACTGTGGTATTTTCAACGCTTAAGTAGGTAAGTCATGTTGGACTATAAAAATTATCTCCACGGTTTTTATGTGTTTCGAAAGTAAAAGCTTAGAATTTTCACGGCGTAACGATATTGATAAATTTGTAAGTTGGCGGCCATCTTGACTTGATCGGTACTGACAAACGTGAATACGAAATCAAATTTTGTTTCATTTTAATTGACCGAAAAGTTTTTTCTCAATTCAGACAATTGTCCTAAATTTATTTTGGTACAGAAGAATCACTGCAGTTTCAATATTTTCAAGCAAAAAGATTGTGAAAAGTGAAAACAGTGAGAACAGTATCGACCATGTGGTACTGTATTAAAAACCTAATTCTCAGAGCTAAAATTGCTAGAAATGAATAGCAGAGAGTGCTGAGAATTGATGTTTTGATCTTAAGAGAGAATGGGTTAAGAGCTGGGAGGACCAGATTTCTTGGACCAGAGACCTCAAGGTACCTGGTGATTCTGGAAATAAGAATACCTCCACCTCAATAATCAAGTTGTTGTTTAATAAAAAGATATTGAAATTCTGCTCAGAGCGATGTTCTGTAGAAGTTATCCATCAACCATGGCAACAAATGTAACAACAAGTCTACCTGGGGCTGTTTGTCAATGACAACTTCTTGCAGTTCCAATTCTTCTTCTTCTTCGTCACCCTCATTATCATTTAGCAACGGATCTTGGTTCAGTAACCCTCCAGGACTGAAACAAATAAAAGCAGAGAAAACCAATGTTAATTAATTTTTTTCTGCTGAGACCCTCCAGGATTAATATTTCCTTTTCTTTATTTCACTTTAAAAAAATAAAAATTGTAGAAAGACAAATCAATACTTGTCAGCATAACTGTGTTGGGACAGATGCAAAGAACATATTAAGTATAAAATTTATATAGAAGCTGTACAAGACAGGAAAATAAAGGATAGTAACCTTTATGAACTACTACGTGCACTAATAGTACAGCTACATTACACTTATAATAATAATAATAATGAACGTTCTTAATACGCATTTAAGAATCTCAATGCGCTTACAATAAGTAATAAAAATAATAACAATGACAAATTATCAATTATCAATACGATTCTTCAAACATGTCATTACATCCTTTTCAAATACAACAGAGAGTATTTCACTCAAGCACAAAGAGGCAAGACTGGGGGTTAATACTAATTTTTCAACTTACTACCCAAGTGGCTAGTGACAACTTACATGTTACAACAATTTTAGTTTGCTTACTGGCCAAGCTGGCAGTAAAAATTGAAAACCACTTGCCAAAACTGAATTTCTACTAGTCTGTGGCTAGTTGCATACCATTAGTGCTGAGCCCTACAAGGATGTACATTTTTGTTTAATTTGTGGTCTAAGCATTTCTCACTCCAGGAATAAAATTTACTTCAAAGATCAAAACAGCCTTTTTCAAATCTCAAACACTTAATATGTTCTCATTTCAAAGTTTTCAAGACTGAATGAATTTCATTGCTTTTAACATAAAAAAATGTATAAACAAGACAATGATTACCCATTGGTTTGTCCCTGGTCCGTGTAAAGCAAGTTGTCATTAGCCTTTTCCTGTGGAATATCCTGCTCCTGGTTAGGTTGGCTGTAGCTATTGACATTGTCGTTCACTTGCCCTTGTTGAGGAACATCCTCTTCTCCCTCAGAGTCTAAAAGAAAAAACCATCAGTAGTAACTTACACTTCATTTGCTCAAGCTTCTTAAAAAGACATCACTTGAAACAGACACAGCACTCAAGCACTCAATGCTGCAATTATTTTGGTCATCATGGCCGGTAGAGTAAATTCTGGTGACTAATATTGCAGAGACACTTGCAAATGGTTACCTACATATAGGACTTAAAAAAAAGTAAAATCAATGATATACTTCTCCTTACCAACAGTACCATCAGCTGGCTCATCACTTGTCTCCTCAGAAAACACTTCATCTTGATAGCGGAATATGTCATTATGCACATAATACTTCCTTGGTCCCTGGGCAAACAATATGAGTGAGGCAGATAAATGGACAATAACCTTGACTTTGCCCAAAAAATACCCTGACAGATATTTATCCATAGATATGACCTTTTTCAAAAGGTAAATTGTTTGCTTCTCCTGACAAATGTATCAATTTTTCTAAAGTTCTTTCATGTGACTCTAAGTAAAGTAAAACTGGACAAAAGCTCAACAGATCATCAGAGTGAGTGCAGTCAAACCTGTATCAGACAGTCACCCACAAGCAATGGTGGGGTGACTGTCTGATACATGTTGACTGCTTCATACAGGTTCCACACAATGGGGGTATTAACAAACAATAAAGAACACTATTTCAAGCCATAATTGAACACTTAATGTACCAAACATTCAAGGCTGTGCTCTAAGGAAAATTGAATGGAGCCCAGTGCTCTGGAACTGTGAAAAACAGGGTGCTCAGCATATGCTTTGTATGAAAAAACTAAAATTTCTGAGTCGCCCAAGAGCAAAAGTAAGGCGCCAGGGGCCACTGGGCACTGCTAGAGCACAGCCTTGACATTGCTCAAAAATACTATAAACGTTGATTTTGGGAGATTTCAGGCACTTTGTCCTTCCTTATTGTTTTGCATGTAATAATTAAATCTTATTACACGACTCGTGCAGTCAGAGGGCCAATAACTAAAATCAGCCAATCAAAATGCTCTATTGCCGGTCAATATTCTCTCAGTATTGGACCGGGCACTGTCCCGAATGGTCCGTAATGATACCGCAGTTGTGTCCCTTTGAACTTCAGGCGTATAATAAATCTCTTATTAACCAAGCTTGCTTGGGACCGTACAGGAAGAATATCGGCCCTCAGTCTTTTTTGTACGGACCTTGCTGCGCTCAGTCCGTACTGTCAAGACCTCAGGCCAATATTCTCTTAGTGCAGCCCTCACACTTGGTTAATAAGATATATGTTTTCTCGAGATCCTTGAAAAGTTCTTTTAGCGTCTCAACCCTTGATTCTCAATCCAAGAGACTCAAAACTTGAAACTTGATACTCAAGCCTCCAATCTTGATCCCTGATTTGGGCTATCAAGGATTAACTAATGAGTCACCTGACATATTACTTTTATGCAGTACTGTACATGTATTAAATTTTACTTGAAAGATTATTCTTAGTTTTAATTGAGTGGCTCTGCTCTAAGTGATCATTCAACACAACAAGTGAAGGACAGTACTTGTAAAGAGGCTGCTGGGACTCAGTGTGGGTGACCACTAAATAGAGGTGAAAATTTCAGTAACCAAGAGGAAAAAAATCTAGGACTTTGAAAACCAACTGCTGGATACAAGGTGACTGCTTAATACAGTGCCCCTTAAAACAGGTTTGACTACACTTACCTCACCAGGGGCCAACACAAAGGTCTGCATGAATCTCCTCATTGGCTGCCCATCATTGGACAGTTCACCAGACACCTGCCACAGATCAAACACAGAAAAATACAGCATTAGTTCCCTCCAAGAAATTGGATTCACCAATATCAGCTACCAGATACTAAAAGCTTGAGAGGATAATTTCAGTTACCGTATTTACTCGAGTATAAGTCGACCTTTTAAGACCAAAGAATCAGCCTTAAAGAATCACCCTTGACTACTACACAAAGACCTGCCAACCAATCCAAAAAAATTAGCAAAACGATTGCCAGAAGTCTATTTGAAAAACTGAGTTTAAAAAACCAGTTCTAATTGTGTTCGAGGTTTTGTCAGTTTTTAGCGGTTTAAGTTTAAGTTTTGAGTGGCTTAATTAAACACAGCTTCGCTGCTGTTCACAGTGCAGTGTTTTTTGTTTTCACCAAAAAATTACAGAAGCTTAGTGACCTAGCAAATGCTGCTGTCGCATGGTCTTGTTAATTACACATGATCCTTTGAAGCTCTTCGGTGTAACTCTATACTACTAAATCTCCTTTCAAACTCAAAATTAAGATAAAGGTCAGTTAAGAGCAGGAAGATTTCATTTTCAATGCGATTTAAAAAATATAGTAAAGTAGTTCTCTAGTAAATTGAAGCACTCGTGTTTGCTTAAATCATGCTGATATAGACAAGTGCTATTAAACTTCACAGAACACAGTTACATTTTGCTCTGCAGCTTTTTTAGTTCACCATGTTTTCAATACATTCTCAGAAATAGAGAGGTTAACTTTTTGGCAAATTTTTATTGGTCTGAACTTTACTTCTTTTACTAGAAATGATGAAAAATCTGATTCTTAAAGATGAAACAATTTTTTTTAGTGTAATAGAAAAAATCCGAGCCCCAGATGGGACTTGAACCCACGACCCTCCGTGATCTAGTCGGATGCTCTAACCACTGAGCTACTGGAGACTCCATGGTGAGCAAGGGTCAATTTGTGGGCCTCAACTGGAACCGCATCGTGCGGCTACACTTGGCTGTGAAGCCGCGTGACT